TCCCTCTCTCTTCCATTCTCTCTAAAAATCAATGGAAAAATATCTTCAGGTAAGGATAAAAAAAATATAATTAAGTATAGGTGAATTTTTATACTGAGGTGGAAGAGGCAGGCTTTTCTCAGTGTGATTACAACAAAAGAAGAAATCATAAAGGAAAAGATTAATTGGCTAGATTTGTCTTCATATTCAACAAAAGCTTCTATACCGTAAACACTCAATGTACAAAGGATAAAGGCAAACCCCAAGCCAGGAAAAAATCCTAATTAAACAGGCCAGAGGGCTGGTGGTAAAATGTTAACTATTTCTGTCTTTTAAGAAACACAAACTGTTTTAGTCTGTCTCTAAGGCAATTTGCAAATACAGCAAAGCCTTGAACGTGTATGTATTCTTTGACCCAGCAATTTCAGTTATAAGAGTTTATCCTATGTGACTAATCCTTGATATGCACAAAAATTTAGCTATTAGTTTTGTTTATAATAGAAGGAAGTTTGAAATAGTTGAAGTGACCACCAGTAAGTAATGTGAATTACAAAAATAAAACTAGCCAGTGTGGCTCAGTTGATTGGAGCATAGTCCCGTACACTGGAAGGTCGCTGGTTCAATCCCCGGTTGGGATGTGTATACAGGAGGCAACCAATCAGTGTTTCCCTCTCACATCAATGTTTCTTCTCTCCCTCTCCCTTCCTCTCTAAAACCAAAAACATTTTTTAAGTTGTATAAATAAAATAAAACTAGTGGTACAGGTGTATAATGAAACACTAGGTATCTTTTTTTAATTTATTTTTATTTTAGTAAATCTTTATTATTCAGATTATTACATTTGTTCCTCTTTTTTTCCCCCCATAGCTCCCCTCCACCCAGTTCCCACCCCACCCTCTGCCCTTACCCCCCCACTGTCCTCATCCCTAGGTGCACAATTTTTGTCCAGTCTCTTCCCGCATCTCCCACACCCCTTTCCCCACCAAGAATAGTGAGTCCATTCCCTTTCTATGTCTCTGATTCTATTATAATCACCAGTTCATTCTGTTCATCAGATTATTTATTCACTTGATTCTTAGATTCACTTGTTGATAGATGCATATTTGTTGTTCATAATTAGTATCTTTACCTTTTTCTTCTTCCTCTTCTTAAAGGATACCTTTCAGCATTTCATATAATACTGGTTTGGTGGTGATGAACTCCTTTAGCTTTTCCTTATCTGTGAAGCTCTTTATCTGACCTTCAATTCTGAATGATAGCTTTGCTGGATAAAGTAATCTTGGTTGTAGGTTCTTGGCATTCATCACTTTGAATATTTCTTGCCACTCCCTTCTGGCCTGCAAAGTTTCTGTTGAGAAATCAGCTGACAGTCGTATGGGTATTCCCTTGTAGGTAACTGAGTTTCTTTCTCTTGCTGCTTTTAAGATTCTCTCTTTGTCTTTTTCTCTTGGCATTTTAATTATGATGTGTCTTGGTGTGGTCCTCTTTGGATTCCTTTTGTTTGGGGTTCTCTGCGCTTCCTGGACCTGTAAGTCTATTTCTTTCACCAGGTAGGGGAAGTTTTCTGTCATTATTTCTTCAAATAGGTTTTCAATATCTTGCTCTCTCTCATCTTCTGGCACCCCTGTAATTCTGATGTTGATACGCTTGAAGCTGTCCCAGAGGCTCCTTACACTATCTTCGTATTTTCGGATTCTTTTTTCATTTTGCTTTTCTGGTTGGGTGTTTTTTGCTTCCTCGCATTTCAAATCTTTGCCTTGATTCTTGTGCTCCTCTGGTCTGCTTTTGGGAGTCTATATAATATTCGTTATTTCAGTCAGTGTATGCTTAATTTCTAGTTGGTTCTTTATCATAACATCGAGGGTCTCATTAGATTTCTTGAGGATCTCAGTAACTTTATCGGCAGCTTCTAGACAGTTCTTGAGAGACCTTAAAAGTGTGGTTCTGAACTCAATATCCTCCATTGACAGTTTTGTCCTATTTCTTTGTCTCCGCATTTTTTATGCTTTCTTGGTGCACCCCCTAGTGGTCTTTGTGCACAGTCTTGTTGTAGTTAAGCCTTGATTGTTGTAGTTAATACTAGGGGGATTTGACCTCCAGGCCAACTGGCTGTGAGAATCATCTGTGTCAAAACACTAGGTATCCTTTAAAAGAACGATGAAAACTATATTGGCATATAAAAACATTCATGGTAAGTTTCCTCTACTTTTAACATTTATGTAAATACTTATATACATGTGTACACATGTATGTACACACTGAAATTTGGGGTATTACTGTTTATTTTGGAATTGTGTATTTGTCATTTGTGTTTTTCCATGTTTTCCAAGTTTTTGACACTGATCAGATGCTAGTTTTATAGTCAAGGAGGAAAAAAACTAAAGGGATTTTTTTAGTTTATTTGAAAAATATGAAGAGTGAAAATAAGAAAACAGTAATCATATTCTTACCACCTAGAGTTAACCACTACTAACATTTGGCATATTTGTGTTCGTTTTCTTTTCTTTCTGCAAATTTTTACAATAGTAATACCAAACCAATAACCTTGGTTATCTTTTATATATGAGATTGTAGACTATTTGGGGGTTTTCCTCCCCGTTCTTTCTCTCTTTTATACTTTTCTGTATTTTTCAAGTTTTCTCTGATGAGCATGCTTTACTTTTTAAAGGAATGAAGTGTTCTTTAAAATACATTCCATTTCTTAAAATACACACAGTCAGCGCTTCATACCTTCAGGTTTCACATCTGCGGATTCAATCCACTGCATATTGAAAACAGCATCCGCAGTTGGGAACCCATAGATGCAGAGGGCCCCTGTTTACACCGTTCTGTATGCAGGACCTGAGTACCAGCAGATTTTGGTCTCCGCAGGGAGCCCTGGGCCGCATCCCCACCGGATACCAAGGGGCTACTATAACAACAGATGCCTGTGAAAGTGTGAGACTGTGAGTAGTGGAGAGAAAACTGGACTGGACGTCAGAGCCTGATGGTGTATTCCTGGCTCTGCTGTGAGCCCGCAGAATGACCCTGGGCTCGTCACGGAACCTCTCCAGATCTCTCTCATCTACAAGTGAGAGGTTTAAACTGGAAACATTTCTATGGTAACTTACAGTTCTAAAAATACTGTGATTCTAAATTAAGATTGAGAGAGAGTCTGTGGCTCCACAGATAACGGACTGTAAGTTCTTAATTTCTTGGTACCTAGTCTGCAGTACTAGACTCCGTTAGCATCGTCCTGAAGACCACTCTGAGGATCCTTTAGCATTCTCATCCGCCACTCCATGATCTTAGAATGGAGATTCGGTTTCCATAAGCTGGAAGGACCATCTATTCCAACTGTTGTGTTTTATAGTTTAAAAAACTGAGCTCAGAGAGACTGCAATTTGTTCAAATCACAAAACTAGTCAGAGGCAGAGATGGGCTTTCTGATTCCTGGTCTGAGCTTTTTATCCCACACATGCTTCGCGCACCACAGGGTCGGTCTTTCCTCAATGCCACCAGGACCTCATTTGTACTGTCACCCAAATGGTCCTTGAGGGCAATTGTTCACTGTCCAAAACCATTGTGTCAGTCACCTATAAGCTGATTTGGGGGAAAGGAACATGGGGGCCCAGGGAGGAATCAAGGAGCTCGTCTGTCCATACCCTTTTCTCTTTAGGTCTAAGAAAGGGAAATAGCAATTTCATTTTTTCTTTCCTTTTCAGTTCCATAGCTTACCTTTTCCCCCAGTAATTATATAGCCAGAGATTATTTGTTTACAGAAGCCACGTGAATCAGCCAGTCCCCAGAGGGTTAACACTCCCAAATTACGGGGTGGGTTAACAATAAACAGGATGTCCTCCAGAAATTAAATTTAAACCGCTGTGACTCAGGCTGGCCCATCCTCTAACCAGATCACTGTCTGGGGTTATTATCGGTGGTTAATTATACCATTGGGTTTAGCAACAGTTTGGGCCAAGAGAAACCAGGCTGGGAGAAGGGGGTGTAGAGGGAAGGGGCCCGGTGGACGGGGTGGGTGCAGCAGTGGGAGCAGGAGGTTTGAATGGAAGAGGCTGAAAGGAGTGGGAGTGGTGGTCTGATCTGTCCCCTCAGGGCTCTGCTGCAGCCTCTTCCCTGAGCTGATCCCTGGGAAGGGGGGTGAAGCCAACATGTCTATAGCTGTTGGGGTGCACTGTGTTTGCTTTCTAGTCTGGCTGCACTGCTTTTCTCAGAATTTAGAATCATAAGGTTTTCAGCATGTTAAGGAAGCTTCTAGATTATCTAGCTTAACCCTGTTGCTTCACTGAGTAGGGAATTAAGGCACAGGGCAGTGGTTACCTGCCGAAGGGCAGCCTGCTCAGCGGAGGCGGAGGCAAGGTTCGTGCTCAGGTTGAGACTCCTAGACCATGACCTGCCCTTCTGCCAAGCTGTCTTCCATCTCTAAGTGGGGGACCTGAGGTGCAGAGCCTCCTAGCAAGTTCAAGGCAGAGTTGGGCTGGATTTCAGATTCTTGGAGTTAGCTTCATTTAGATTTTGTCAGTTGTCATGGGAAATAGTCCAGCCCGGCTGATCCTTAATGCCCCTACAGTTTGTCATCTCTCCCAGCCATAGAAGAAGCCCTTCAGAGCCACAGTTTGTCCCTCTGAAGGGAAAAGTGAAGCACCTATAGGGATGTGTGGTTTTGATGATGCTTTTCAAGGCATGTTTTCTAGGATAACAGCCACCTAAGTGAGCCTGTACTTTCTAACTTTGCAGCGCCTTGAGACACAAGGTTTATGGTGACTGCTGTTTGTATAGTATCTCCCCTCTCCTGCTCTGGGGCAGAAGGTGGTGCCCAAGACCTCCATCTGACGCTGTCCATGGGAGCATGACCGTCCCAGAGCCCAGCCTGGCTGCTGATGGCCCTAGACTCACAGGGCACGTGGTGTGGGTGGCAGAAAGTGAGCCGCTGCCACTGTGTTTTACCTGTATTTCCTCAGCTCTTTTTAGCCACATCCTTCCCCATTTCTCCTAACATCCCTCTTTGTCTCTTTGCCTTATAGGATTCCTTTCAAGATTGGGCAACCCAAGAAACAGATTGTCCCCAAAACAGTGAGTAACCCGATTCTTGCATTCTGAGACTCAGTTCTGTCTCGCATGGCCTTCGCATAGCATCAGAGTGTTGACTCAGCGTGGGGCTGGGAAGGCAGAGCCTGGGCCTTGACATTCTCAGTTGCATAGCTCTAAATCAGTGGTTCGCAACCTTCCTAATGCTGTGACCCTTTAATACAGTTCCTCATGTTGTGGTGACCCCCAACCGTAAAATTATTTTCGTTGCTACTTCATAACTGTAATTTTGCTACTGTTAATGAATCGTAATGTAAATATCTGATATGCAGGATGTATTTTCATGGTTACAAATTGAACATAATTAAAGCATAGTGATTAATCACAAAAACAATGTGTAATTATATATGTGTTTTCCGAGGTCTTAGGCGACCCCTGTGAAAGGGTCGTTCAACCCCCAAAGGGGTCACGACCCACAGGTTGAGAACCACTGCTCTAGAACCTCACATGGACGGTGTCTCTCAGGGACCTCCTGTCCTGTGACGTTGTCCTTCCTCACTCAGCCTGGGAGGTGGAAGAGGTAGAGTCCACAGGTGAGGAGAAACACACTGCTTCTGACTGCTCATCTCTGGGATCTGGCGTACAGTCTGCACGTTCCTAAGAGGGAGCCTGAAACAGGGACCCCTGCCAAGGACACAGCCCAGCCTTTCTCTCTGGCCCCCTCAGGCTGCATGAAGGTCCCGGAAGCTTCTCCAGGACTCCAGGACCATTCGTCTCCACTGTCAACTACATTCCTAGCCCAGGGTCACTCAGCACGGGGATAATGGAATCCTTTCCCCTTGTAGCCCACTGTTTTTGCCCCTATTTCATCTCCAGAATTGGAAAGGAAGGGAATCATGGCTTCTTAGAAAGTTAGAGCTGGAAGCCCTGAGAGAGCATCTGGCCCAGCCTCCTCAATTTTCTTGATGGAGAACCGAGATGAGGGGTCTCGGTGACTCTCGGAGGCGAGGAGAAGCTACTGCTGGCAGAGCTGGACTTGGAGCTCAAGGCTGAGCCTCTGCGCAGGACCCCTGCCATTGCTGTGCTGCCTCACGCAGGCTGGGAAGATCCCCCAGGTGTGGGGACTCCAGTGAAGAATGGCTGCTGCAGCACCCCCCCTCATAATCTGAGCGAAGCCCTTGGTATTCATCTGGGAGACCGTAACTGTCAGCATCTCTCGTTGTGACAGCTCCGGGAAGCCTGGTGGAGGCCTTGACTGTCATTCCAGCCCCTGGCAGTTCTCCGTGTCTCCATGTCTTAATAACCTCGTCCCTTCTTGGCTCAGAGCTCAGAGCTACAGGAAAGATACTGCTTCAGTTGGCAGGAAGGGGTGTTCAGCAAGCACCTGACCAATGGCTCTATCTTTGGGAAGTTCTAAGTTAGGTCACTGAAAGGGAAACGGGGCCGTGTTAAAAGAGCCCTTCCCCTTTTCAAGCACAGGCTGGCTGTGGAGGAAGACTCAAGTCTACCTCCCATGCAGAGGCTGACATCTGTGGAGGCTCAGCTGACACACTGAGAACCTGGGCGTGCAGTGTTGGGCTCCGGCCCACTGCAGGAAGTGGGAAGGTGTGGCTGTGGGTCTCCAGAGTGTAATCCAGGGCAGATCTGAAAGGGAAGTGGTTTTGAAAAGGGTCTTGTATTCCCAACACTCACTACCAAAAAACAAAACAAACAAAAATCCTCTCCACTCCCCAGCCTTTATCGAGATGGCCTTGTTCTCCACAGAAAAGTAGAATGCAGCTTCTAGCTGTTTTGCCAGAGTTTGTTGACGGGCAGATCTGTGGGTGTTTCAGTCTGAGGAGTGGCAGGGACTCCACAGGGGAGGGCAGATGCATGAGCTGAGAAACCCTCTGCGCCTGTGTGGCCCCGTGGGCCGTGGCGCCCTCACCCCTTCCTAGCACCATCTTACTGGGGATGCAGCTGTGGTCTCTCACTGTGGCATCAGCTCCCCTGCACAGTCTGGCTTTCGAGTCGTGGGTAAGAAGCCAGACTCGCGGCCTGGATCGCCATCCTGGCTCTGGCACGCTGTGTGTGACCTTAGGCAAGGGCCTTACCCTCCCTGAGGCTCAATTTCTCTATAAAGTGAGGGTGATGCTAGGACCCATGCCGTTGATGTGTAATGAGTCTCACCTGAGATGATGCATGCGAAGTACTTCGCACAGTGTCTGGCACAGAGTAAGGCCTCAGTAAACGCTAACTACACTGCAGGCAGAGAGGCAGGTTGATAAACCACGAGGACTCCGCCGGTCCCAGTAGCTGGCTTCCCCGGTGCAGTGTTGGTGGGAATAGAGTGATTTGCTTCCTCAACTCCCAGGTTCACTAAAGTGCCTGCAGCAAGACCCTGCCTCTCTGGAGTCTTGTTCCCCACTCGCCAAGCGCCCTCCTGCCCCGCACACCGCCAGGGCGTGTGGTTATCTCAGCATCTTCGCAGCTGCCCCCAGCAGTGGTGACGCACCCTGTTGTTCTTGCCCAGGCACTCTCGGGGCGGGAAGCAGATGGGGCTGCCTGGGTTATTGGAAGTCACAGCGCCCTGTCATGGGAAGAAATGTTCATGTTATCTTCAGGGAGTTTCAGGAGGTTTTTGGCTCAAGACACTCGACTGTCAGGCACAAAGAAAGCATTGTGTGTCTGCCCTCACTGTCTCATGTGCCCAGGTTATTAAGGCAGATTCCATTATTGTCACAGCTTCGGCTGGAATAGCATGTTCTCTGCAGGCGCTGACCAGTGGAACTGAAAAGGACGGTCCCCCACTTCCCCGTCCTCACCTTCTGCTTGGTCCCTTCCCTCCCCCGATCCCATAAAGTAGCTGGAGCATCTTGGCATGGCGAAAAGAAGCTGCCCTGCGCCCTCTATCCCTGGGAGGCTGGAGAGCTCTCTGAAGCAAGTACCCTGGGTCTCCCACCAGAGGAAGGCACACACTTCAATCCCTAGCTAGGTGGGCACTCGGTGAAGTCAGGCAGAGAGAGCCTTCACTTCAGAAAGATTTCCATGTGACACGAGGGGCCTCAGCCTCATTCCTGTCCTGTTGCAGTGTGCCGTAGGACAGTTGCTGCCCCACCCCCACCCCACATCCCGCCCCCCTGCCTCGAGCAGCCTTGCAGAGGGTCTTCTCGGCTGGTCTCTCTTTTCATGTAAGCAGCACAGGTTTGGGTGGGAACTTGGCCCATTCTTTCAGTTAACAAGAACCGAGCTCCTACAAGGTGCCAGCCTGACCTGAGCGCCAGGGAGATGGCAGGGAGCCGTGCAGCCCCTCCCTGCCACCCTGAGCCGTCCTGTGCTTGACTCTCCTCGAGCTAACCTCGCCAGCCGACCCGCCTGCTCTGACCCGCTGACAGTTGTGCACATGTGTTTGCACTCGCATTCTTGACTGCGGTCCAGCTGCCTTTTTGGCAAAGGCATCAAGCATTCAAAGATGTTCAGATCTTTTGTGTTTGGCTCTTTCCCGCAGAATGGATAGACCTTGGAATGAGACTCCAGTGTGTCCCTTTATTCCTCATCTGAGGGGCCAGAGTCCTGGTGCTGCCCCCAGACCTATGCCCAGTGGAGGAGAGAGGCCTGGGGACTGTGAGCTATAGAAGCAGCCCACACCTGGCTCCCAGGGCTGAGGAGGTGAAATACTCATGACCTTCTCTTAGGCTGTCAGATGGCCGTGAGGGACATAAAGTAAAAGGACCAGTCTCTCACTCCAACACGCTTCTCAGCTTCCAGGGTGAGACCTCGAGTTTCTCATCAGCCAGAATGCTCCACCCCAGTTGGAAACCTGCAGTCCTTCTCTGTGCAAATCCACGCAGCCCCAGCCAGGAGGACCAGGTGCTCCTAACATCCCACACACGCAGCTCGGGGACTGTAGCAGAGCGTGCCAGGGCTGCGGCCCCAGGGGTCGGGGGCGCCCGCCTCCCCTCAGAGCACCTAACTCCGTGTTCTTGATCTTTAGGAGAACTGCATTCTGGCTAAGACATCCTTAATTTTAATTTCATCTTTTCGGGGGGAAATACCGGTACCTTTGCTATGTAAAGACTGGCTCACACCCTACAAAGTAAGAAAGGAAATTGTTCCATGAAGGGAGGGCCCAGTACAGCGCCCCCAGGCACAGAACTCCAGGCTTAGCCAAAATCAAGAGTACCCTTGCTGTCAGTGGACCACATGCTTTGCTCTGCTTCACCCCCAGTGGTCCTCTCACCACCCCAGTGTGGAGGAGGTACAGGCCAGCACCACCCATGGGCCAGGAGCCCTCCCCTGCACTCCACATGTACTTCTGTGAATCTGCAAAACAAGTAGGCGAGGCTGACGCTGTTACCCCATTTCGTTGTCAGCCCCTGAAATTTACATGGGTGAGGCCAAATATAATATCCCAATACTAGACAAGAAACTCAAATGAGGCTCAGATGTTAGGTAGACTCCAGGGCCGGTATCAGAGTTGGCCTTGCCCGTCTCTCCCAGCTCCTCCCTTTCCTCCCGCGCTGATGGAGGAAGGCTGGGCCAGCTTCAGTGCCCACTTTGCAGGCCCCTCTGCTCCACAACAGATCTCCCCGCTGCAGGCCCCGGAGGCCTTTTCTGCCTTTAGCTGTGATCTCATTCCTGTCAAACTGCAAATCCCCTGTGTTAGGTAACACTTTAAACTCTAAACGGTACATATGCTTTAGTGGGAGTGGGAGTTTTGAATTTTTTCTTAAGAGTAGCTTTTGGTGGATCATTAAGGAGTGAGATCAATTTTAAATAGAAGTGTGTCTGCTCTTGGTGCAGGGTTCTAGATGCTAGGATCATAAAGTAAGGAAAGGACCATGTGTTCCTGCTTCTAAATTTCCCAGTTTAAATGCGGAAAGTGACACGCTGTGGTGCCCTGAGGACCTCAGCTGAGCCGGGCCCACATCACTCTCACTGCCCCCGCCCCCGCCCTCACCCTCCACAGGGCTCCCCCTGCTTGCAGGTATCCATGTGTGTGTTTGATCATGCCCACCTGGGCCCACATCTCTGTTGTCCATCAGGGTATCCCTAGCACCTGGCAGAATGCATTGCACTTAATAGGTGTTCTTTAAATGATTATGGGATGAATGAATATAGTTGAAAAAAATAAATAAAAGGCCTGCACCAGGAGTCTGAATTCTAGCCGTCCTTATGTGAATCACATCCCTTTTTTGGCTTCATTCTCCTCGTGTATAACATGAAATAATTGGCCTGAATCGTGTCCTGCCATTCTGTGACTGTGTGGAGTCTGAGGTTGATGGGCCTTAGGATACTCTTCCACTGGGGCACCTTTGATGGAAGGGCCTGCAGGTGGAGAGCAGCATGGCTTTGACGATTTCTGCAGATTTGTACTCCTGGACCTTCAGCCTGTACTGGCAAGGTCTTGGGGGCGCAGCCAAGAAGCCGTCTTTCTGAGGTTGTGGCTTTCATTCCTCAGCAAACAGCTTTTCCCTTGCCGTGGAATGACGGTTAAGAGCACAGGCCTGGGAGCTTGGCTGCTCACAGTGGTGTGACCTTGCACAGGCAGCTTCACCTCTGTCCCCGTCACCTCCTCAGTACAGTGCGGGCCATGGTGCACCTGCCTCCTGGCTGAATTGGGGAAGCCCGAGTTGGCTCCCTCCGTGAATGTAGCCAGGTTTTCCTCTCAGAGCCCCACAGCCAGAGGCTCCACACGGTGGCAGGGCCTGGTACTGCCTTCGTGGACGAGAAGGAAGGAGAAGCCTCTCGCCGTCCCCTGTTTAGGCTCTGAGATGTCACTTACTCCACAGGCCACGTGCCTGAGAGCCACGGCGGGGGCCCCTTTTTCCGGGGGGGGACATTCAGCCGTGGAAGTGCAAGTCACTTTCTTGACCTCACCTGACGTGTAGGCGGTGGAATAAGGTCCAGGACTCCACCCGTTCAATTTAAACATTGCTGGCACGGGAAATCTGGTCACTAAGTAATCAGGACGTTAGGGAGCCTGGCGGAGTCAGTAGTAATGGTATCTGTGTTTGGTACATCCCAGTACACAGAGCGTGGCCACGTGGTCTTTCTTGATGGACCCTGGAGCTGGCAGGTAGGACCGTGAGGAAACTAGGCCTGTGCCCAGGGAGGTGACCTGCTCGGGCCTTGCCTCAGAACTGCTCAGTGGCAGAGACAGAAGTGGAGTTCATACCCGCCTTTGCCTCTGCCCACTGCTGCCTCCCCCGCTGAGCGTCACATGGTGAGCAGCGTACCTGTCCCCAGAGGGGAGGGTGAGAAGAGGGAACACCGCTCAGTGCCCCACTCCCTGCGGTGGAAGAAGAGCCGCTGGTACTTGCCTGGCTGGCACGTCTGGGAGGGGAGCCTCTCGCCCTAAATCAGACACTTAATTAATTTGGGAACACAGGGGCACTGTGTCGTTAACGACCTGCCGGTGCCTGTGTGAACTGGACCGTGTTGTTTCTGCAGATGGGGGAGGGCGTGGAGGGAGTGTCTGGAGGCTGGCAGATTTTTTCCAAAGTGTTGTCATTTCTCTGATGATTGAGTTCTCTCTCTCTCATTACAGGTGGAGAGAGACTTTGAGAGGGAGTATGGAAAACTGCAGCAGTGAGTGTCACACCCCAAAAGGAAGGGGGTTGGGATCGGAGAATGGCCAGAGCCTTCTGCCAGGTCTCACTTCCCGCAGAGTTTTGTCTGCTTGCCCGCTAGTGGGTGCTCCTGTCACCACCCCAGGAGCCGGGAGCAGCTCAGTTTACCACCTGCCAGAAAGTCTCCCCCAACTGGTGGCTGTGTGACAGTCGTTAACTCGCAGCCTCTGGGTGCTTGGCCTCTTGCAGAGCTTAGGCCCTTCAGTGAGTAGGGAAAAGTCCCCACAGACAAGGGCCCCTTTTCCCGGTGGGCATTCCAGAGCACCAAGGTGGGCCTCCCTCAGGTAGATGGGAAGGCAGGGGACCAAAGCAGTTGGCGATGCCACGTACCAGGCCGTGCCCTTTCCTTGAAGGCTGGAAGAGCAGACCAGGAAGCTGCAAAAGGACTTGAAGAAGAGCACCGATGCTGACCTGGGTAGGTGGCATGTCCCCTCAGCCGGACTGGGGGGCACCGGTGGATGCCCTCCTCCCGCATCACCTTAGGGCTGGCTTTGAAGTAAGTGCACTTAGTAGATGTCCAACAGATGTCCCTGAGGAGTGGCCTGAGGTCAGTCTTCACTTAGCAGAGCCCCACTCTCCCCTCTCCCGGGCGTAGCCGCCGCCGCAGCCAGGTGCAGGGCTGGCTCCTGCTGTCTGTGCCACAGAGCCTCAGGCCAGCGCGATCCAGAGAACGTGGGCACGTCTGAGCATGACAGCCCTCACTCCTGGCCCCTAGCATCTCCAAACTATGTGTGCAGCAAGCCAAGGGGCTGCTTTTGGAGACCGTCTGTTATTTGTTTTGAAGTTAGTTCTGAGTTACCTGGACAGCATCTTTCTTCATCGCTCCCCACTGCCTTTCCAGTAAGTGTGTCATTGAAACCAGGGGTTACCTAGCTACACCAAACCTGGCCTTCTTTTGTCAATAAAGTTTTATCGGAACACAGCCACACCCATTCTTTAGGTATTGTTTGTGGAAAAGTTGAGTAGTTGCAACAGAAACCATATGGCCCTCCAAGCCTAAATTCTGGACTCTGGCTCTTTACAGTAAGTTTGCTGCCCTGCTGTTGTGTGCTATGCTACCCTGGTCCCCCCAGCACACTGCACCTCCCAGCCACCTGGAGAGGGCTTCTGACAGGCATCGTCCTGGATTCCAGACTGACTGGATTAGAGTCTTTGCAGCTAGAAATCTGCATTTCTGACAGCTTCCCACCCAAATGATTCTGTTATAACCCAGAGTTAGAACATTGTCATTGCAGCAGGTAAAGCTGCCCAAAAGAATGATCCAGAATATCAGGTGATCAGGAATGAACATTGTCCAATAAGGACCAGTGTCTTATGCTCCGTGGTACTTTGTCGTTTGTGTGGCCTCTGGCCTTGGGTGCAGGCCCCTGGACTGAGGGAAGACGGGAGCCCTAATGACAAGGCTTGGAAGCCGGTCCCTGCACAAGTTCCCTGAACTCTGACTTCTCACAGCCATGTCCAAATCTGCTGTGAAGATATCCTTGGACTTGCTCTCTAATCCCCTCTGCGAACAAGACCAGGACTTTCTGAACATGGTGACAGCCCTGGACACGGCCATGAAACGGATGGACGCCTTCAACCAGGAAAAGGTGCCTGGGGTTGGGTCTCCCCCTGCTCGTGGCTTCTATCTGGAGGAGCACCTACATGGAGTCCTTAACAGGGCTCAGGCTCCTCTCGGTGCCCTCAGCCCCCCGAGGCCTGTGTCCCAAGCCCTGTGTGCTCTTTCCTGTTGGCCTGCTCTCCGTGGCTCCCACGAGCTCACATCACACACACTGAGGCCATGAGGGAGATGCAGGTCCGCTCTGCCTGACTAGCCTCACTGAGCAAGGCCATATGGGCCTTGGCAGACAGCGGCTGGCAGGGTAGGAATTCATTAGGGACGAGGACAGGGTGCTCCTGTTGCCCTTTGGACTTCCTGGTCACCATCTCTGCCTCACCCCAGCTGCAGTTAGGAGTGCCCACCCTGCCTGACCTACTTGGGCCCTCTTCCTTCCAGGCTCTAGGGGTGCCCCGGACAGGTCTCCTTTCTCTTCTCAGGAACTGGAGCCTCCCCTTTAGGAAGAGTCTGGCTTCCCCCAGTTTTGATGTCATTGGGTTTTTCTTCCGACAGGTGAACCAGATTCAAAAGACCGTGGTTGAGCCCTTGAAAAAGTGAGTAAAGGTCATCTGGGGACTAGACTCAGGGCACTCCTTGGAGAGGCAGGTCAACTGGTCACCTGGGGGCTGAATGTCACTTCCAGCCACCTGTCCTTAGGCTTGGGGTTGACGGGAAACCGGCCGGGTCACCAGCTACCCGATCTGCGCCCTGAGGTTGGCCTGCTGGTAGCTCTAGAGTACCGGCCACTGCCCAACGCTGTGATGGGGCGTGTGAGCCGCCTCAGCAGCTGGCCTATGCTCCGGTCAGTCGTTCTGCCATTTTCCCTTTGTTCCTGTCGGAGGACGGTGGGACAGAGCCTGCTGAGTTAAGCCAGCAGAGATCTTGGCGAGCCCTCAGCGGAGATGAGCAAGGCCTTTCATCTCCCAGCCGGATTGGGAGAGCAGCTGCCTGCAGCACTCGGCTTTTGAAATGTGGGGGTGGCTGCACATGGGGAAGGGCGCCGCCACGGGTTCCCGCCTGGGAAGGTCCCTTACTCATGACCTATCAGGGTCAGAAATTCTTCTGTGAGACTCCTCTTCTGTCAGGCAGGCTCTGGTCAGCGATCAGACGGGCCTATTCCCTAGGTCCCCTAAGGGGTGGGCATTGCCTTGAAGCTCCCGAATCACTTCATCTTCTTCCCTGGCCTCTCCCAGGCAGCCTCTGACCCAGAAAGGCCCCACTCCAGCCGGCAGCTGCACCGCATTACCTCTCTGTGGTGGTCCCTGGCAGTGGCCTCCCCAGGGCCGGGTAATGAGGCTCTGCTAATTACCATCAGGCTGGATCATGGCCAGGAGGGAGATGAGAGAGCAGGTTTTGATCCTCTGGCCCCTGGTGCTGAGGTTGTCAAGCTCCTCACTCCCTGTTCAGGTCCCTGGGGTGGGCTCAGGAAAGCTTATTCTAAGCAGGGCTGCCTGGAGGCTCAGCCACGGTGGGGAGGCTGGATCTGGTGTGGAAAGGGATTTCTCCCTGCACCCCTGCTCCTTCCCTGGGCCTCTGGCCCCTAATCCCTGCTCAGCACCAGGTCACAAGGTCACATGAGCAGCTGGGTGCTGAGGAGGCCCAGGAGAGAGAGATGAGGGCTTCCATTGCTTGTGGGTGCTGACCAGTCTCCAGACAAGGGTCCAGAGCTGGCTAGGAAGGACCAAGGCAGAGCAGATCCTGCCCATGGGGGTCTCAGGGGCTGCCACAGAGACTGCCATGGGCGCCCAGGGCTGGCAGAGGTAGGAGGGGACACCAGCTCAGAGAATGGGGACTGGCTCCTGTCTCGATTTCACAACCAACGAGGCGGCCTTGAAATCTGATGCCTGGCTTCTGGAGCCAAGTAGAGAGAAGTCCCGGCTGCTTCCCACCACCCTAGCAGCCCACCACCTGCCAGGAAGGTGGGTGAGTGCAGAGGGGGTGGGCACCATCTCCGCAGCAGATCCGCTGACCTCTGTGTGAGCTCCTGGCCGGGCTGGCTCCCGGGCTGGCTTCTGTGCATCTTGGGGCTGACATGCGATCTCCCCCAACCACATAAAACCAGCACTGCCTGTTGCCTCCTCTTGCCAGGAGAGATGCTCCCAGGGACCCCAGCACCGGAAACAGGAAACTGCAGCTTTCCTGTCCTCTGATGAGGAGCATTGCCACATGGCCACCCACCGCCCCCAGCCTCCCCCCAGGGGCTTGGCCTCTAATCCCCCAGTCCCTGGGCCACGCTCACATGGTCGGATGGGGATGCTTTCAATTTCCCTTTCCTGGTGGGTGGAGGATCCCGGCTGTGTGGGCACAGAGTGAGGAATGGCAGGCATTCCCCACCGGGCCGGCTGCTCCCAGCCCACCTCCCAGCCGGCCTCTCCGCCTCCCCCTTCCCTCCCCCATCTCGCTGCCTCTTCACCCCACGCTTACCCAGGGGAGGCACTTTGCTGTTGAACCTTAGGACGGGCAAGAAACGGGCAGTCACCGTGGGCAGAGCTCAGCGAGTACCTGGTGTAGGCCCGGCCCGTTCTCCGTCTTAGAGAGTGGACGTAGCTTTAGCTCTAGTGCGGAAGTCATGGTGGCCTTCTTACGGAAATGGCCACGTGGTGACACCTGCCACTGGTGTGGAGCGGCCCCGTCCGCCCTGACCAGCCTGTGGCCTTGGCCAGGTCCGTTCCTCTAGTCTGTTTTCCCACCTGACCTTTTGAAATGGCATAGCCAGTGCCCAGCAGGGGAGGGACGTGTCGGGCTGAAATGGAAGTTGAGCCCTGTGCACAGGACAAGACACCCCCCCCCCCCCCACAGAGCCTCCCTGCCCCCCTCACTGCTGCTGATGGGAGAGGGGCAGGAGCTGAGCAGAGGGTCCGACAGCCCCGCCTTGGTTCTTTGTGGCCGCCCAGTCAAACTGCGAACTGCATACCCCAGGGAGAGCGGGGCCCCATCCCTGCCAGTGAAGCCATCAGGTTCCTGGACCAGCCTGTCCTTGACTTCCCTCCTTGCTAACTTTCCTCCCTTGATCGGGAAGGTGGAGAGCAGGAAAGCGCCCCACATGGAGAAGGGGGTCCTGCGGCCAGATGAGCTCCGCTCCTCGCACAGCATCATGCTACCTATAGGCCCCACACGTGGGCCGGCCACGTCCGTTCTGCTGCCTCTCAGTGGAAGATGGGGAGGTGGGCCTCAGGGAGCAGTAGCCCAGAGCCAGGGGTTACAGGGTCCCCCACTCTTTAGTCAGCCACTCAGAACATACTGGCTGATTGCTCCTGCCTGACCTTGGTTTCCCCACTTTAATGTGAGAAGCGTGACGCCCGCCGTTACCCCTCAGGAGTCCCGAAGCCACCTGAGTGGAAAGTGACTAGTGATCCAGATACAGTGAACTAAGTCACAGAGCCTTCCGTGGCCTCCTGGTGTGATGGGCACTGCTGTGGGCACAAATGACGGTGAAGAGAGTTTCCTGGAGGGTCTCACAGAGGCAGGTGGTCTTGCTGCCAGAGGCTGAAGGTCGTATCCTGCAGACACGGCCACTGAGGGTGCCTGGCATTGCGTGGAGACCTGGACCCGCTGCGTCCCACCTCACTCACCCCTGGACAGCAGGCCCAGGCACTGGGGCCACCCAGGCAGCAGGTTGCTTCTAACTAGGCAGTCAGGGTGACTGCTGGTGGCCCCTTGTCCAGTTGGGGCGGACAGGGAGGTGGCGTATGGCTTCTCAGGCCCAACTGCATCTGCTCCCTCTCAGCTGCTGGTCACACTCCTCCCAGGAAGGGACGGGCATTATAGCAGCTGCCTGGGGCAAAAGCAGAGAGTCTAGCCCCCTCCACCGAACCCCCACCCCCAAAGGGTCTCACCTGTCCAGACCTCCCCGAGGGGATCCTGTGGTCCTGGAGGTGGCTGGTTCCTCCAGCCATTTTCCTGGGCACTTTACATCTTCTGCCTGGCAAAGCGGTCTTTTAAAAATATCAATTTGATTAATGTGTGAAAGGGCATGTGACTGAGGCTTCAGAGACGTTTGCGTGGTCTTATCCACTTCTCATTTCCAGTTAGAGGCTGAGCCCGTTCTGGACCCCCATTAAGTTAGAAGAATTCATTTTAATCACCTTTCTCGGAGACAATCCTTTGTTTCATCAAAATCTACTGCCTGGTTCTAAAGCTTTGTTTGGTGCGTTTAGTGCTTTGGTCAAGTTTACATTCTGTATTCTCTGGCAAAAGTATTCACGACTCTTGTGTCACATGTACTCTTGATTTGTTGAGGCATTTAAAAGCCAACTTCATGGTCACATCCCTTTGAGAGACAGACTTGGAAACCCCTCTTCATGTGGCATCTGAACTTCCTAAAGACAACCCGTGCTCAGACGCCCTCCTGGCTGAGCGCAGGGCCAGGCTGAAGTCCGCAGCTGCCCGTCCCCATCCTTCCTCTCCCCGGGGATGCTCCAGAGAAACTGGCTCTTCCCCTGGTCCTGGGTCGCCTGCTCAGCCCGTGTCCCCACCACACTGTCATTTTCCTGTTGCGTGGCCAGGTCTCCGCCGGCTGTGCAGGAGCACCTCCCGCCGCATGTCCTGCCCCATCCGGAAACGCCGCGGGCAGGCTTACCTGGCCGTGTCCAGCACTTCCTCGGAGACATCGTTTGTCGAGGGGCGTGCAGCATCCCTGCCTGGGATGAGTCCTGCCCGTCAGTCTCCATCACTGTCCTTCCCAGTTAGGGGTGACACTATCACCAACGTGTGCCCACGGGGCCAAAAATGCCGAGGCGTCTGCGGCTCTTTCTGAGGGGCCCGCGCCTGAGTCACCGTGAGGTGGGAGAGGTCCCCGAGTCGTTTTCCGCAGACATCCGGCCGACAGTGTGGCCATTTCAGTGGTAGAACCAGAGGATTCCTATTCTCCCTGTGGTCAGCTAGTAGGATAGGGCAGGAGTAGGGGAGGGTTGTTTATTGGGGGGGGGGGGGGGCTTTTGGCTTGTTAGAAACTTCTTTATTAAATGGGATTTGTTTTTTATTAAAGGATAGTGGACATATGATATTCTATCCTTTTTCTGGTGTGAACATACTGCTAGGACATGTATACACCTTATGAAGTGATCACTAGGAGTAGGTTTGTTTTTGTTTTTTATATTTTATTGAGTTTTTTACAGAGAGGAAGGGAGAGGGATAGAGATTTAGAAACATCGATGAGAAACATCGATCGGCTGCCTCCTGCACACCCCGCAACTGGGGATGTGCCCGCAACTAAGGTACATGCCCTTGACCGAAATCGAACCTGGGACCCTTCATTCCGCAGGCTGACACTCTATCCACTGAGCCAAACCAGTTAGGGCTCTAGGAGTAGGTTTTGATTGCAATTCTGTCACCTGCTGGTGGCATCTGGGATGGTGGGAGGTGCCAGACAGAACTGGGACACTGGAGTTCTCTTCTGGACCATCACTTCCTCCTTGTGGCCGTGGACGTGTCATGCCTTCTCTCTGGCCTCAGTTTCTTCCATTTTTTAAAAGGCAGCTGTTGGCCAAATGACTTCCCAAGAGCCTCAGCACTGCCTGCCGTGGCAGGGCTCTGGTGTGGGGCAGGGCCTCGGAGGGGCCCGGGGGGCGCAGCGGCAGCATAAGTGGCATCATGGATTCATGACCCTCTGTGTCTTCCAGGCCAGTGGTGTGAGCCTTAGCCTTGGGTTCTTTCCCTGGCCTGATCCCACAGGTCTTGTTCACAATGGAACCCCAAGACCTAGAATAAGATCTGGCCCTCAGTAGGCATTCAGTGTGTGTTTCCGAGTGAATGCTGAGCTGCCAGCCCGCACTCCAGGAACGGGCTGCGTCCAACCCAACTGTGTCAGCAGGTTTGGCAGTGTCTTCCCGAGCCTCAACATGGCAGTGAAACGGCGGGAACAGGCCCTGCAGGACTACAGGAGGCTGCAGGCCAAGGTGGAGAAGTACGAGGAAAAGGAGAAGACAGGGCCAGTGTTGGCCAAACTCCACCAGGTACCCGGGAGAGCGGCGGGGGGTACGCAGCGAGGCACATGGCACACATAGCAAGTTCCTCCTGTACCTGGGGACCGCCTTGAAGGCTGTCGGGCCGCGCGCTCACACACACACACACACACACACACACACACACACACACACACACACACAGCCCCCAGCAGGGATGCTGGGCCAGCCCATGAGAGCTCTGACCGCAGGGTCTTGTTCCCAGGCCCGAGAAGAGCTCCGGCCCGTTCGGGACGACTTTGAGGCCAAGAACAAGCAGCTCCTGGATGAGATGCCGCGGTTCTACAACAGCCGACTTGACTACTTCCAGCCCAGCTTTGAGTCCCTGATCCGAGCGCAGGTGAGCTGCTCCCCCGTGCCCGAGCGCCAGCCCAACACGTTCCCTCCGAGACAGTCGTGGCTTTGTGGACACATCTCACGCCTGCCCCCACGCCACCCACCCTGCCCCGGCACTGCCCGAGGGAGGGAAGCCAGGGGCCTCTGGTCATTTGCTGGACTCTGTTTTGGTTCCTACGTTGCTCTTTGGTTAATCCCAGCCTAGGACGAGGTTCCACGTTTAATAGCTCTTCCCTCTAGTTCTCTCACATTTCACTGCAAGAAGCAAAGGAGGTTGCACCATCAGCACCTCACTCTGAGGGGCAGGTTCTTTGCTTGGTGTGCTTAGGAAGTCAGGGATAGAGGCATAGGGGGTGAAGTCCCTTTTCTGAGGACCCTGCACCCCCCATCCCCACCCTAGTTACTCTTCCTTTGGCAGGAGACCACGGAGCATGGTGAACCCTGGGCGAGCCACGCGCGGGGCACTGGCCGTGGTGCACCTGCCAGCAGGAAGGGCAGGCTGGGTGTGGGTGGAGGTGCACAGCGGAGCACTGGGCTAAGCAGTTAGAGGGTCGCCATGGGCCAACCCTGTGTCTCCCGCTACTCATGGTGGGATACAGAGTGTGTGATGGGTGTAGCTGCTGCCCTCCTTGCCCCTTCGCCTCCCATCCTTCAGGCCATTTGCAGGGATTAGTACCCCATCTGTAAAAGACCAAAAGGTGGAGGTTCTAAAGCCAAGGGGTCTTTTCCACATGGGACCCCCAGCTGACTCCAGATGTTCAGCATCCTTCCACCTTCCCACCTTCCCCACCAGGTAACAAAGCAGAAGGATCAGCCCTCCCCATCTGCCTCCAGCTCACTTCTGCTCTTGGCCTGGGTATTTGGCGCCCTCCAGTGGACAGTGTCATTCCTTGCAGAGTCCACAATCACAGGTGCCCAAGAAAAAGCCTGACTCCTCTCTCAGTTACCTGCCATCTTTGGAGAACACCAAACCCATGGGACTGGCACTGGGGTCACAACCCTGAGCAGGATTGATTTTGGAGCTGGGACTTGTTAGTGACCATGTCCTTGGTTGCTAGGGGAAAATGAGGCAGAAAACTAGCGAGCACAAGGGAGTGGGGGTGCCCACACTTGCCCCAGAGCACTGCCTCAGTAGGTGAGGGCTTCCTTCCAGCAGCTTCGTCCTGGGCCTGGAGGAATGTACTTAAGGACCCTGTGTCTTCCCTCCTGCCCGCCCTCCGTCCTGCTGCATCACCGCCTGTTCCAGCCCCGGCGCCTACCCTACCTCCTCCGTCCCATTGCTCGGGGAGGACGCTCCAGGATGTGAGGCTGTGGCGTGCCCAGATGGAGCAGTTCAGGAGCTCAGGATGCCCTGTCACTAGGCAGCGGGTGGCGGGGGTGTTGCTGCCTGCTTGGTACCAGCTTCCCCCTCCCGAGACTACACTGCCATTAGTCACTGGAGAAGTGCGCATTCCTGGTGACTCAGCCACGCAGTGCTGCTCTGGGGAAGGGGGCATCCCCCATGCTCCCCAGCACTAGCCCAGGCTCCTGTCCCCTGAGGTGACAGCGGAGGTGAGGGCCTTAATTTCGCTCCCCTCAGATCTGGCTGTGGGAGACACTTTCTTAGAAGCAGCTCAACCAGGGCCCTGGCACCAAACCTGCCACCCAGCCTGGCGCCTTGCCAGCAACAGCACTGCAAGTTTCTAAAGCAATAGTTTCTTTTCCCCAAAGACAACTTGGAGCTGGATAAAATGTAAGGGTTTTGAATAGTGTGGAATACGTTCATGGGAATACTTTTCATTTGTCACGAGGTGGAGACTGAGGCAAAAATGGCTCCTGCCCCCTCCCCTGGAAAAGCCCATCCTGGGCCTGCTTAGGCCCTGGGTCTAAGCAGCCCTCAGCCATTTATTTGAGTTGCTGGTGGGTCCCCACTCCTCACATTCCCCCCCCCCCCCCCCCATTCCTGTAAGCTTCCCGTCCCACACTGGGGCCTACCTAGAAGGGAATGTGGAAACAGCCTGGCCTGGGCCCTGGGCCGAGCACCTTAGGCATGATTATCAATGAGAGGAGTTGGGAAGGAACAGAAGGCTGAGGAGGCGTCACCATTCTCACCTTCTAAAGACCAATTCTCAGGGCTTTGGGAGCCTGCCATGCCCTCTCCATGAACAAAAGCCTCCAGCTCCTAGCTTCTGTCCAGCAGTGAGCCCCTCGTCACAGTGCCCAACTCCCTGGTCTCCCAGGACCTGCCAAGGGCCTTCCGGCTTTCCCCAGCCCCAGCCTGGACTGTGCTGTCCTCCTCCACCACTCAGAACACACACACCCCCTGTGCTGCTTGGAGAGAGGGGCAGAGCCCCCCACCTCCACCTCCCGCCTCCCCGAGGATCTATTGCTTCCCTCGCCTTTGACTTATTGCCACCCCAGGCAGTGGACGGTCCTAAAGGGCTTCCGGCAGTGGCTCACGCCTCCCTGGTTGCTGTGCAGTTGAGAGAGATGGGCTGAGGGGAAGGGCAGCAGTCAAGGGAATAGGAACCAGCCCAGAGGGTACAGTGCTGTGGGGGCTTGGTGCCGAGTCCAGCCCCTGCTGACCTCCTGTCTCCCACTCAGGTTGTCTACTACTCTGAAATGCATAAGATCTTCGGAGACCTGACCCAACAGCTTGACCAGCCTGGCCACCCTGATGAGCAGCGGGAGCGGGAGAATGAAGCTAAACTGAGCGAGCTCAGAGCCCTCTCTATTGTGGCTGATGACTGAGCCCCGCCCCTCGGGACACCCCTGGAACACAAGTTGGCTTCCCTAGTCTCTGCCCTTTTCAAGCTTAGGCTCAGGCATCGGCCAGCGCAAGGCCATCCCTGGGAGAAGGCCCCTACCCTACCTCACCAGCCCTTTGGAATGAGCCTGGCGCCTGGAGCCCTAAGCAGGCTGCTGTCTCCCCACCCATAGCAGGAGCCTGCAGACAGGTAAGCAGCCTCTAAAACCCAAGAGGCTTTCTTACTTCCAGAAGAACCGTCCAAAGTGCCTCCTGGTCCAGGGCCAGAGCAGGCTGCCCGCATGCAGGGGACATGGGCTCCGCCAGCTCACCAGCGGGCTCCGCCTTGTGGGCATGGCTGGGATCACATCTACCTCCAAAAGACCGTCCTGGGCACCACCCACCCTGCTGCCCTCCTACTTCTCTCCTCTCCTGGGAGAGGCCCACAACACTGTCCTGAAAATGAGTGCTGTGGTCCCCCAGCCTTGACAGGCCCCTCACTCTAGGCTCCCAGCACGACAAAGGCTGGCTTTTGTCCTTTTGGTCAAGTGCAGGGAAGATCCCGTCTTGTAGGTTCTCTAGGAAATGGATTCAACTCCTGTAAATGTCCAATCCACAGGCCTCAAAGCAACAACAGTGGGTTTGTCTCTCACCTGAATATTTGGAATTTTTTTTCCAGTAAAGTTTTCAATAAAATGTTTTTGTGCTGTAACTAAGGAAAGGAGGAGAGCCACCCCGGGTATTTTTTTTTTCAGGGCAATGCTGCCCCCTGCTGAGCTGGCAATACCCACACAGCATCCTTTCTCCTGACCAGCCAGCAGCCACTGAGCGCAAGGGGGGCTCGCTCTCCCTGCTGCCCACCCACCTTCTGGAGGCGACTACACCTCTGTCCAGCAGAGGCTGGGCTGAGGGCCAGGAGGAGGGGTGGGAGCACAGCTGGCCTGGAAGAAGGGAAAAGCTATGGGGACACTTGGTTTGTTTTTACTTTGGTTTATTTAAAAAACAAAAGCAAAAAAAAAAAACAAAAACAACTTTATATACAAAGTCAAACTGAAACCACGGATTACGGAAAGAGGTGAGACTCATGGGGAACGGGAAAAAGGCTGGGCCAGAGCCAATACCACATTCTGAACACAGGGAGCCGGGGGCAGAAGTGCTGGTTCCTGCTGGCAAGTCCGGGGGGCTGGAACAGTGCTCACTGGCCGACAGCCCAACAGCGAGCTGGCTGGCACTGACTCCCTTCCTCCACAGGCCCCAGGACACTCATCCCCCAGGAACCTGTGCCTGTGACCAGCAGGATCTGTGCCATTCAAAGGAAGGGGCGCTTACCCCAGCCAGACTCCACGTCTGTTTCTTCATTTATTGGCATCAGACCTTATGACATAGTCAAAGAGCCTTTTCCTCCCCTGTCTTACTCTAAACTGGAAGAGGACAGGAGAAAGCACAAGACTAAAGGGCCCCAGGAGAAACCCCAAGGTGGAGGGCAAAATGACATTCGAGGGGTGCAAGTGTTGGATTTAGTTGTAAGTGGAACCGGTTCCTCACTCGTCCGTCCACATAGCACAGGCAGACCCCACCTGACGGCCTGAGCTCCCCTCCACGGGCTGAGCACGGGTCAGCTGCCCGCCTGCTCCCAGGTCCTGCTCAGCTCCTCTCTGGAACCAAAGGGCTCTAACTTGAGCAGCTCCATCGCTGACCTCGCAGGATGGCAGCTCCTGCGTCAAGCCCTCAGTTGCTAGGTGCTGGCTCCTCCTTCTCTACCCAGCTGTCAGCCTGTTTGCAACAGATGGCACGAGAATTAGGACCCAAGGAGAAAGGACTGCTACCCACTTCCTCTTGGGGACTCAACTTTGCAAGCTGCTGGCTGACAGATTCCCTAAGAAACTGGTGGATGGGGGAGAAGGCAAGGTGGACCAAGGGGCTGTTGTCTTGGCATCATCTTGACTAAGCCTCCCAACTAAGCCAGCTCTCCTACAGGCTCACTTTTTCAACCATTCGCTGCATCTCCAGCTGCAGGGGGGTCAAGCGCCTCCGGAAGTCATGCAGCAGCCGCTGAAGCTGGTTCTTCTGCCGCTCAGCTGTGCGGGCCGTGTCCTCGGCCTCAGCCAGCCGGGTGCGCAGCTCCTGCATGTCAGCTGCCAGCGTCTTGTTTGTTACTTCAGTGGCTGAGAAACGGTGATGGCTCTCCTCTGGTGAGAAACACACCAGAAAGCCTGGGGCTAAGTTAAGGATCGGAGCTCAGGGCAAGAGGCCTGCAGCCTAAGGAGTGGGTTCCCCTCGGTCTCCGTGTACCCATCTGCACGGCCATCGGCAGGCCCCATCAGCCACTCACCTAGCTTCAGTTCCAGTGTGTGAATCTTGTTCTCCAGGTAGAGCCGCCCACTGTCCTGCTGCTCCGCACGTTGCAACAGGTTCCCCACATTGATCAGGCTGCCGTTGTGGGACACCAGGCCCTTGTGTTCCAGAGGGGCAGCTACTGGCTTTGCGCTTTTCCCAGAAGGAGGTAGCAGGTCCAGGTTTCCTAGAAGGGCCATGGGAAGAGGTAAGGGTCGGGTCTCGGGAGGAGAAAGCAGCCTGCCCTGCCCTGCCCATTCCCCACCGAAGGCTGCAGAGCACCGGTACACACCAAAGAGCACCTCCTCAGGAAGCCCGCTGTCCGTGCCCTCGGAGCGGCTGTACTGAAGGCTGCGGTACTGGCAAATGTTCTGGGTCACCACCCTGCTGACCAGCTGTTTGGCCTGCAGAAAATACACACCCAGATCCCCTCTGATGAGAAGGTGCAAGCCCTCCCCGGGATGTGAAAAAACCTAGAACTGGAGCATCCCAAGTCCCCCGCAGTTTAGGTGCGTGCCTGTGCACATTACGTCAGGTGAGGCCACCTCAGAAAGGACCAAGGGGGACGCGAGAGAAGGCACCTGCTCTGCACTGAGCCGGAGCCCAAGGGTAAGCAGGATCCTCTCCAAGTCTCGACGGTGCAAGTAGCCACACCAGTTGGCATCAAAGAAGACAAACGCAAGAAGACAGTCCAAAGGGAGCACAGCAGAGGGGTCCAGCTCCTTGGGCTGCAAGAGGAAATGAGGATGAACGGGGTTACACATCATTCTCTCTGGCTAATCGCCCTTTTACAGCTGAGTGGCCTGGCTGACAGTCCCACCAGGTGCACCTTCCGGCTGGAGACCTGACCCTGAGCCTCTAACCCAAGGCCTCCAGGGCATTTCTGGCCCTGGGGCTGTCCCACACAGGAACCCCGTGTGTGCTTCTACACCAGCTGCCCCTCCTGTTCCCCCTGACAGACGCTGAAGTGTCCCCTGGGTCCTACAGAGGTGCTGTTCCATGAGCCAAGAACCACATGTCTGGTCAACAAACAATGGAAGTCATTTGTAGAAGTACAGCTCCCAAGGACGGGCTCAGGCCTTGCTGAGTGTCACTGAGGCCGGAGGGGCAGAACACTGGTCTTACCATGTCCTGAAGGGAAGAGAACTCCATCTCTGACTGGTTGGAGGCAACAGAACGGACCTCGGAATCCTCCAGCTTGGCTCCTGCTACAGAAGGCCTGGCATGAGCTTGGAGCAGTGACCACATGGCCACACCGGCTCCAGTCCCAACGGGAGAACACTAGAGCCACCCGCAGCCGCCCGCGTGCTCCCACCCCCTGCGCTCACCGAACTCCTCCTCCCCATCGTCCCGCAGCAGCAGCAGCTCTGGGTCCAGGGCCATCTCACAGAGGTCCTCCGACGCCTCAGCCCGGGGTTTCTCTTCTTCCTCTCCTCCAGAAGATGGGGGTTTGGGCAGAACCCCATCTTCCTTCTAAGGAAAGCAGACCGAGATGAGGAGGACTGTCCCCTGTAATTACTAGCAATGACAATGGCTAACACTGAGTGTCAGCCCCCTCCAGGCACTGTTAAGGGCTCTGTGTGCACCACGTCATGTAAAGTATTTCATTACACGGGTCCAGAGCAGACCGGGGCACTTTCCAGACACCGGGGATTCTCCCCAGGAGTCCAGTGCAGCCCGTAAAAAATTATGTTGACCTGAGACCGTTTAGTTGGGTGAGAAGCCCCAAATGCTTTAGAAGGGCTAAGAGAATGCAGTGTTCTGGCTAACCACAGCCCTGAGCCCCTCAGAGCACTCTCCTTCACTGAGCTCCCTGTGCTGCCAGCAACCACACTTCCCTTCCCTCCTGCGCCCGCTTCCCTCCAGACACAGCAGCACAGCACTCCCTGGCCGAGGGCCGAGCACCCTGCGCCCATTACACACCAGGCTCAGCACATGAGTGAGAGGGGTTCTGAGAGACCGTACGTGCTCAGAATAGCACCTGGTACCACGCAGCACTCGAGTTCTGTTCAACGTTACTATGTGTAGCCCCAGTGCCCGCGCAGGGGGCAGAAGTACTCACCGGTGGGGTGTCTGACTCAGCAGCTGTGCCCTCACTCTGTACCTCCTCCTTGGACTCCTTGGCCACCTCCTCCTTGACCACTTCTTCCTCCTTGGCCACCTCCTCCTTCTCAGGTTCAGGTGGGGCCACGACCTTTTCAGGAAGGCTCAGCAGCATCTTATAAATCCTATAGCCAAAGTCCCTCTGCAGCATCTCCAGAAACAGCTCAGCCAACACCATCACCTGGTGAAAGAGGCCCATGGGCATCAGGAAAAAGGGACTGTCCCAAGCCCCGCCACACACCCATACACCCTACCCCACAGCCTCCCAGACTCTTACACGCACCTCAAAAGAGATCCTTTCCTTGGGCCTCCGGTCCTCCACAATGCCATGGAGGGAGAGGTTTACGCAGCCGGGGCGTGCCATGACAGCGGGTTCCAGAGGGGGTGGAGGGGCCTCTGGGAGGTCAGTGTCCACTTCCTGCTGTGTGGTGGCCTCCGGGTTCTCTGCATTCTGTTTGGTGTCCGCTCCTTGCTCCGATGCCTCACTTGCCTGTTCTGTAGGCTCTGTTTCCTGTGATAAAAGCCAAGAGCTGTGACCACCTGGGCTTAGGTCAGGGCACCTATTCTCCCCACCTGTTAGTAAGGCTCTGTCTTACCACGGGCACCTCCTGGGCCAGGGGAGCTGCCTCTGCAGCTTTCTGCTGGCACAGGGCCTCCCACTCTTCCAAAGTAGGCATGATGGTCCAGACATCCGGCAGGTACACCACCACGGTCTGGAGCCGCTTCGGGGGTCCTGGCTGCAGGTACTGAAACTCAGCAAAGCGCCACCTGCTCACAGCAAAGGGAAAACGAAGTAGTGACCCAAGACATCTGCAAGCAAGTGCTTCAGTTTCCAATCAACATTTAGTGAGCACACACTGCGAGCCAAGCTTTGAACGTTCAAAAATAAAAGATACAGACAGGTCCTCAAGAAATGGTTAGTCAATGGGAAACACAAAGAAGCAGACATTTACTTTCCAAGGTGCTAAGGCAACAAGAAGGGGCACTGAAGGTTGCTGGGGGAGAGGTTAGCTGCCCTCCCACATTCACATCCCTAGTGATGCTCATGATCCAGGCGGCCATTTGTGAAAGCTGGAGAGAGCAATGAGCTGGGACTAGGGAACAAGGGAGAGCTAACAGGTCAGAAAGGTGCAGAAGCTTGGCCCAAACAGTCGCCAACTCCACTCGCCAATAGCCGGCCCGCGGGCAGCCACTCACCACTTGGTGCAGGCACTCAAGTCAATGCCGGTCTGGGCCTGTGCACAGCGGATGGCGGTGCGGACTAGCACCTGTGGGTCGCCCTTGGGGTCGAGGCCATCCAGGGAAGGAGACCACTCGCCCCCAACCAGCACTGCCTCCTCTTCTTTCCGGCCCAGCAAAAACTGCAAAACGAGATCAGGGCTAAGAAACGAAAAAACAATTACCTGGGTCTCCCACTGGAAGGCAGCCTGCCACCGCTGGGGATGCAGGCAGCAGGATGTGGCAGAGTCCACAGGACAGTGGGGGGTGGCTTCTCCACCCATGAACACGACCAGCCACGTAACGCTCTGACAGTAACAGCTCTGAGCAGTGCTATGCTCCTGGTAAAACCAGAGGTGTTTCAGCTCTGAAAAGCCTTGCTTTTAGGAGTTCATGAATAGGAGCTGAGCTGCTGAAAACGTGACACGGACTGGACGTTACCAATGAATGCGTCTTGCCTAAGGGACTCCAGCTCTCACCTTAATCTGCTTCAGAGGGTGTTCTGGTGCCTCCCTTGGCTCAGCCATGTCATCCACAAAGAGCATGCAACAACGAAACAGTTCCTCCAATCCCGGGGAAGAGAGCAGCAGTACCTGAGGAGGGTAGCGGGAAGGACACTCAGCTTTCTCAGCCTCCAACAATGGGAGCAAGCGGCAGGACCCCAGCCAACTTACCTTGGAACTGTACGCGGGGTCACTGTCTGCAGGGACTGGCTCAGCACCAGTGTCTGGAGCTGGCTCCTTCGCAGAAGATACCTGGATACGGCTCGGGTGGTGGAGGGAAAAGGGCTGGCTCAGAGGGAAGGCTGACAGCCAGCTCAGATGCACAGCCAGAAAATCTGAGGGGACCAGGAGGCTGCGGTAACGGCGCTGGAGTTCTAGGAAGTCACAGGTGGGGCTGTAGGAAGAAGCCAAGACTAAGTTATCTTTTAAATTGAACGGTAAAAGATTTGAAAAATAAGAGGGCAAGTTATTTTATATAATCTGGGAAAGAACTTCTAAATAAGACACATCTAGGGGAAAAATGGATCCAATTTAACCACCAAAAATGTTACAACCTCTAAAGGCAAAATAGTTAAACTGGAGAGGAAAACATTTGCAATACATAACAGAGAAAAGAGTCACTGCTTAACATAAAAGGAACCAAAAAATCACTAACCAAAAGTTCACACAAATCTAAGAGAATACTGGGAAAAGTGACAGCAACAGAAATGAGACTTAAAAGCCCATATAAATATGCTCAATCTCACTTATAATTAAAGAAATGCAAATCAGATATCACTTTTCACCCATCAGACTGATAAAGATAAAAAAGTTTGATAAGGCAGTGTTGGCAGAGGACTGGGGAAACAAGTAATTCATGCCCCAATGGTGAGAACGTAAACTGGTATGACCTCTTTAAAAGAATGAGCAATTCTCTCTTCCTCTCTCACTAAAAAATAAAAATAAAAGAATGGGCAATAGCCATCAAAGTTCAAAATCAGACCCTTTCGGTCAGCCACTCCATTTCTAGGAGCTGATCTCAGTAAAATGCTTGCACCTGTCCACATGGATGCATGCAGAAGGATGTTTATTACAACAATATTTAGGATAAGACTAAAAATGGGGAGAGAGCTGGTTAAATAAATGGTAGTCCAACCATTCAGTGGAATACCATATAATTGCTAAAAAGAATGAGCTCAAGCTAATAAACATTAATATGGAATAAATTCTAAGATTTTAGTGAAATTAAATGAAAAAGCAAAGTACCAAACACTATGTACAATAGGCCTCAATTTTTTAAAAAAAATAGTGTGTGTGTCTAACAGTTAGCAATCATGTTCTGACTTGATGTGACATGGAAATCGGTGTCTTCTGAGATGGGACCATGTGGATCAGCATGGAGAACAAGAGGCCCTGCCTAGGCCAGGGGAGAGGAACAGTGACACCGGAAGAGAGGGACAGTCCTCCTCTCCCACCTGAGGAGGTGCCAGGACCTGCCCCTGGCCTCCGCTGGGCTTCCAGTGGACTTTGCTTTGGGGGTGTATCTAATACCGTAGCTGGAGCCCTGCCTCTCCACAGCTAGATGGAACCTGGAGTCGCTCATCTACCTCTTAAGTCAGTTTCTTTTCCCCCCCCTAAAATATTAATACTCAGATTATCTTAGTAAGGTTCATAAACAGTTAAAATCCCTAACCAATTCTGATGCAAGTGCCCAAAATTACATTATTAAGAATAACTGAGCCGAAACCGGTGTGGCTCAGTGGATAGAGCGTCGGCCTGAGGACTGAAGGGTCCCAGGTTTGATTCCGGTCAAGGGCATGTACCTGGGTTGCGGGCATATCCCCAGTAGGAGATGTGCAGGAGGCAGCTGATCGATGTTTCTCTCTCATCGATGTTTCTAACTCTCTGTCTCTCTCCCTTCCTCTCTGTAAAAAATCAATAAAATATATTTTAAAAAAAATATAAATAACTGAGCAAAGACTTACTGTCCGCAGTATTTCTTAACCGTTTTATTTGTCGAGAGAAACTATTCCTTAGCTCAAATATCCATGTTTCATAGTTCAGGAACACAGGTCAGTGACAAACTTCCTAAAAAATTCTTTACATTCCAAGATCACTTTGCACTCTAAAGGACACCAGCCTTGCCGTAACCGGTTTGGCTCAGTGGATAGAGTGTCGGCCTGCGGACAGAAAGGTCCCAGGTTCGATTCCAGTCAAGGGCATGTACCTTGGTTGCGGGCACATCCCCAGTGGGAAGTGTGCAGGAGGCAGCTGATCGATGTTTCTCTCTCATCAATGTTTCTAACTCTCTATCTCTCTCCCTTCCTCTCTGTAAAAAAGCAATAAAATACATTAAAAAATAAAAATAAAAGACACCAGCCTTCCTCTCTCCTCAGTATCTGTCATGGAATCATAATTTCTGTGGAAATCTGTGTATGCCTTCTTTCTTGGTTCAGCCACACAAACTCATAGGAAGCTGCAACCCCCAGGGCCACAATGATGGCTCCAACAATACAGATGCTTGGCCAGAAGGCCACGTGTCTGAGGTTCTGTCAGAGCACAGGAAGACATGGTGGTTCATATTCTCCTCAACACCCAAGTCCTTCGTGATGGAGAACTGGACGACTCCAGCAGCGGCAGGCACTCAAATGGAACTCTGTCAGTTCCTGCGAGTGAGACGTCAGCTTGCAGGCTACATGCTGCAGCACTTAGAAAACAATGCAGAAACCAGTCCCAGCGTTCCTATGAGCTGCAGCTTCTACCTGCATTATAACTGCTACAGACTGGCATAATCATTTCTGGTGATCAAAAAAAGTTTATCAGGGCACCCATGTCAGTGGTGCTCTGCTGGTCAAAATCTGAGATTTCAAAGTAAAAAATTTGTCACATTAAAAAACAAAAGGTCATAAGAACACACACTCACACACATAAACTCTCACAAAGACTGTATCTCATTTACACAAGACTCTGTTACCAGCTGCAAACTGCACCCCCACCCCCACCCAGCCTTGCCACTCACCTGTCCACAGTATAGGGAGTGAGATGGACTCGGTAAGGAGGCAAGTCATGCCTTGGTTTCTTAGCACCCCAAGGCTCTCCACCAGCCCGCTGTTTGCGTTTCTTGGAGTCATAGTCATCGCTGGAGGTTGAGCCATCACCAGAAGGAAGAAACCACTGTTACTTATGATTCAACACACACTGGCCTAAAAAGAACTGGAAATGATCTGACTCCCCAATGTTAAAGAAATGGATAAAGAAGCCGTGCTGACAGCCATATAACAGATTGTTATAAAGATATGAAAATGGATATTTAGATGCTTTTAATAACCATTCATGTTAAGCCAAAAGAATGGTATATAACACTGTATATACAGTAGTACCTCAACTGTGTAAAAAAAGCTTTAAAAGACTGAAAAGAAAGAAAATATTAATGGTAGTTGCCTCTGACTAAAACTTACGAATAATTTTTAAATACTTTCAGAACTTTATAAATTATAGTTATGAGCAGAAAAGACTTTAATTGATTATTATTCTTTTGTTGTTGTTAATCCTCACCCGAGGATATCTTTTCATTGATTTTTTTTTAAAGAGTGGGGGGTGGGGGGCAGAAATATCAATGTGAGAGACACACATCAATTGGTTGCCTCCTGTATGCACCCCAACCGGGCAGGGATCAAACCCACAACCCTTGGGTATACAGGCCAAACTCTAACTACTGAACACCACCAGCCAGGGCTGATTTTTAACAAAAGACATATGGTAACCATGCTAAGAGTTCTATAAAGTAAGTTTTATTAAAAGCAATAGCTCGGCTGGTGTGGTTCAGTGGTTGAGCATCACTCTATGAACCAGGAGGTCATGGTTCAATTCCCGGTCAAGGCATATACCCAGACTGCTGGCTCGATCCCCAATGGGGGGAGTGCAGGAGGCAGTCGATCAATGATCCTATCTCTCTCTCCTTCTCCCTTCCTCTGAAATCAATAAAACCATATTTTTTTAAAAGATAAATAAATGATACAGTTTTCATAATGAAGCTTTGGGAATACATATTAAAGTCATAAGACACTATGATCCAGTAATCCCACTCTGGAAAATTTACCCCAAGGAAGTTAGTTCAAAAGAAGAAAAAAGGTTATATATAAAAGGGATAAAAAAGCAAGCTGAGAGTAAGAAAACCACATTCACATCCAGCAATGTCTGGATTTTTATCGTAAATAAGTAAAATAATCACGCAGCGCCCTAGTGGGTTTGGCTCGGTGGACAGAGCATCAGCCTGCAGACTGAAGGGTCCCAGGTTCGATTCCAGTCAAGGGCCTGGGTTGCAGGCTCAGTCCCCAGTGAGGGGCGTGCAGGAGGCAGACGATCAATGATTCTCTCTCATCATTGATGTTTCTATCTCTCTCTCCCTCTCCCTTCCTCTCTGAAATCAATAAAAAATATATTTAAAAAATAATAATCATGCAGCCATTAAAACAATCATGAGGATCACATGGAAAAATGTTTAGTAAGAATCTATAAAAATAACTTGAACTCTAAGATTAAAATTATAGAATGTATGAATATATATATATAAAGACTAGAAAAGAATATGGGGGGAAACTGGCAGTAATTTTTCTCTTCAAAATTATTTTCTAGCCGAAACCGGTTTGGCTCAGTGGATAGAGCATCGGCCTGCGGACTGAAGGGTCCCAGGTTCGATTCCAGTCAAGGGCATGTACCTGGCTTGCGGGCACATCTCCAGTAGGAGATGTGCAGGAGGCAGCTGATCGATGTTTCTCTCTCATCGATGTTTCTAATTCTCTGTCTCTCTCCCTTCCTCTCTGTAAAAAATCAATAAAATACATTTAAGAAAAAAAAAAAAAATGGTTACCTTTAAAGGGAAGGAGAGTCCTAGCTGGTTGCTCAGTGGTTAGAGCATCGGCCCACAGACTGAAAGTTCTCAGGTTCGATTCCAGTCAAGGGCCGGAACCTCAGTTGCAGGCTCGATCCCCAGCCCCAGTTGGGCACATGCAGAAGGCGACATATCAATGTATCTCTCTCACATCGATGTTTCTGTGTGTCTCTCCCCCTCCCTTCCACTCTTTCTCTCTCTCTAAATATTAGTGGAAAAAATATCCTCTGGTGAAGTTTAACCAAAAAATAAAAAAATAAAAGCAAGGTTTTTAACTTAATATAACAGCATGCATTACTCTATACATTCATGTAATAAATTACTCATCATTGTATCACTGTTTGGGTGCAATAAATAAAACCAGTAGATCCGAAAAAAACTTTAGAACAATATAAAATGCCAGATTAACAGGAAGACCCCCATGTCAGGGAGGGTAGAGTAAAGGGGGCCTAATATATGATGATGAAAGGTGATTTGACTCTGGGTGGTAGACACAGCGCAACATAAAGACCTTGTAACAAAATCTATACCTGAAGCCTATATGATTCTATTAACCAATGTCACCCCAATAAATTTAATTTTAAAAACAAAAGAAAATTTACCTAGTCATTACACCCCAGGAGCTAAGTTGTTATATTTAACACAACGTTTTTCTTTTTTTTAACTATTATTTTTTAACATATTTTTATTGATTCCAGAGAGGAAGGGAGAGGGAGAGGTAGAAACATCGATGATGAGAGAGGATCTCTGATAGACCGCCTCCTGCACGCCCCCACTGGGGATGGAGCCTGCAACCCAGGCGTGTGCCCTGACCAGGGATTGACCTGTAACCTCCTGGTGCATAAGTCGCCACTCATCCACTGAGCCACCCCAGCAGGACCAGTGTTTCGTCTTTTCTCTGTGTCAGCTGGGTCATTTCCCTGTTCATTTGCATCTCCATCCAAAAGCTGCCTTCTAATCCTCCTCTAATGGGATGTCAGTGCTTCCATGTTTCTAACAGAAGAACCGCTCCCCACTCATCAGACAGCTCTCTCAGCTGGTTTGTGACCGGAGTGAACTCTTCTGTAAATGCTGCCAACCTATAGTTAAGCCAGATGTTCCACTGAATCCTGTGACTTCCACAGCCAGTTTCCACTCCTATTGTGACTTGTCAGGAACAGGTTACAAGGTAGTAGTGCCAGTGGGAGGCATCTCAGTGACCTCAGCAGGAGACACTGATCCCTGCATCCCAAAGCCTAAAATTCAAAATAAAACTTGGCTTCCAGCCAAAACGCTGCTCCTTTATAAACTGCTATTCCCCCTAGAATGGCCTAATTCTTACTCCCCCTTCCCTACTCGGCAGATCCTGTTACCGACTGACAGTAACATCTCTCCTTTCTCTAGAAGCCGGCGCTGAAGCATTATAGCCAAAGTAACGGAACATAGGCCTCGCACTGAGCTTGACATATCCAGGCCAAGCAAACGCAACCGACTGTAGAGAAAGGCTGAACCTGAACCAAAGCAGGGAGTTCACAGCAGCCACTCATTTCCATCCAGGTTACATCATCCCCTGAGCACAGTTACTGTGATTTTGTAATGAAGCCTTAATAAATTCATGGAATATGAGAGGTGGAAAGTCCTTAGAAACTGACCGGGAAGATGCACCAGATGCGAGATGTGGGAGCATGCAAAACACGTATCAGTGACTTGAGAACGGGACAATGTGTTTCAAAGGAGTGAAGACACTGGAAACAATCCTGGGCCATCAAAGCGACCCCCTAGTTAGAACTCACGACCTAGCTGAAGGGAGCACACACTCGCTGCAGCACAGAGACTAGCCGCATCACTGCCTAAGCTTTCGGAGTTACTCCATGAACCTTTTAAGTGTTGACTTTGGACTGCATTCTCGGCCTTGACCATGTAATGATTTACTGGCATCTGGGATCAGGGGTTTCCGTCTTAGTATAGTTCTCACTTCAAAAGAGAACAAGAACATGAGAGTATATTCTGAAGTAATGGAAATATTCTACACCTTTTTTTGTTGTTATTAATCCTCACTCAAGGATACTTTTCCATTGATTTTTAGAGAATGGAAGGGAGCAGTAGAGGCAGAGAGAGAGAGAAAAACATCAATGTGAGAAAAACACATCAACTGGTTGCCTCCTGCACATGCCCCAACCAGGGCTGGAGACCAAGCCTGCAATGGAGGCACATGCCCCTCAACCAGAATTGAACCCGGGATGCTCCATCCACTGAGCCAAACTGGCTAGGGCTCTACATCTTAATAGGAGTGAGGGTTACATGGGATTTTCCACTTGTCAAAATTGTCCAGTTAAGCCGAAACCGGTTTGGCTCAGTGGATAGAGCGTCAGCCTGCGGACTGAAAGGTCCCAGGTTCGATTCCAGTCAAGGGCATGTACCTTGGTTGTGGGCACATCCCCAGTAGGGAGTGTGCAGAAGGCAGCTGATCGATGTTTCTCTCTCATCAATGTTTCTAACTCTCTATCTCTCTCCCTTCCTCTCTGTAAAAAAATCAATAAAATATATTTTAAAACAAACAAACAAACAAACAAAAAATTGTCCGGTTAAGATTTGTGCATTTTAACCTATACAAATTTTACCTTTAAAACATCAAGTATGAGGCAGGGAGTAGAGAGAGGTAGAGAAAAAAAAAAAAAAAAAAAGAATAGCAGATGTTGATACTCAAAGCTGGGTGATGGATATATGAGAGTTCATCGTCCTCTTCTGTTTACTATGCTTATACAATAAAAGTTAAGATAAGACCAACAGATGGAAATAGGACAGTCTTAAGCAAACTAGTCTAGAGCTTAACTCCCAGGGATATAAGCAAAACCCTATAGGAGAGAATAAGGCAAGATAAGGAATGTGAGCCAGAGAGGACAGGTGGCATGCTCTTGGCAGTCCCCGATGCTCACAGATGATACAGGGTGGCCCAGGAGGCCCCATAGGCCCAAATCCACCATGCCTGCTCCCCACAGGCCAAGACACTGTGTGCCTGTCCCAGGCACAGGCCTAGCCTTCTAGGCAGAGTGCAACATGCACACTCTAACCCCGCACTGATGTATACAATGTATATGAAGAAATGTTCTATACTAAGAATTTAAAACATATTCTACAAAGTTACTTTTTGGGGGACAAGTACCATTTTCCTGAAAGTTGTTTTGTTTTTAGAGACAAAGACAAATACAGGGAAGAAAGAAAAAACATTGATTTGTGTTCAACTTATTTATGCATTCATTGGTTGGCTGCCTTATGTGCCCTGACCAAGGATTGCACCCACAACCTTGGCATATCGGGACAACCCTCTAACCAAATGAGCTACCTGGCCAGGGCCTCTTGATAGTTTTGATTCTTAGTATCTCAATCTTAGGGACTAGAAATAAAAGGGAAAATTACATATTAAGAAAAAATTCAATATGATTATTTTGAAAGGTGAACTACATCAGATCCCTGCTTACTGAACCAGTTTATAAAATTCCAATATTTGTATATACCTCACGTGACTGCCTACTTCAGGGTAAAGGAACTAGGATCTAGCTGCAGGAAGAGAATGTTAGTGTCAGCAGGTGGCAAAGAAAGGGGCGGTGCTCCTAGAGGCAAATAAAGGAAATAAAATACTTTTTTCTGATTGAACATCCTCTTACCTTCGGCCCTGATCCAATCGGCCATGAGGGCCCCGAGCAGGAAATCTGTTCAGGTGGCTCAGATGAAGTGTGTGGGATGTTTGGAAGAGACTCAGAGCTGCAGAGAGGAAATGGCTGGTGACTCCAAAACTCTAAATACCCAACTCCCCTGTCCCTTTCTCTCAGTGCACAGAAGTACCCACTTCTATTCACAGAGCAGCAACCTGACAGTTACAAGTCCATTCATCCAGAGTATCCCATAAAGCGACACCCCAACATCCATGCCACTGGTACTCACGCTTTTGAGGAAAGAGTGGGGGAATCCGATGAGGCTGGAAGATCAGCTGGGGCTGAGCTCCCAGAATCCCTTGCTTCTGGCCCAGGGCTGCCACATGTAGAAGTGGAGGTGCTGGGGACTTCAGTAGGGGCTGCAGGGCAGTAACCAGGAAATTCAGGGCATCCCATAGCTGACGTGCCCATCCTCTCAACAAAAGTAAAGCTCGTGCCCAGCTGTCAGGACCCAGGGGCTTCCCTCCCTCCCCTTTCCAATGCATGTGACCAGGAGAGAGAAATACCTGATTGGAGAGCGTTTGCACCTTGACAGCATTCCAAGGCACTGCCTGACCTGGGTTGTATGCAGCCTTCACCAGCACCTTCTCACCCAGCTGGGGCAGCCGGCCCTTCACCACACTGCCAGCACATAAGCCTAGTCAGGAGACCCTGGCCAAGCCACCCTAACTACCCCAATGAGCCCTGCCCATCAAGATTTCTCAGACCTTCATCAACACAGGAAAGCAATGGCTTTAGAGGAGCCCCAAGAGCAGGTGACAGAACAGAATCAAACAAGCATTTCCAAAAAGAGACCAGCCTCAAACCCACCTTAGCTGAAAAAAGACCTCTTCATCCACCACCCCAAAATAGTCGTGCAAGCTGGTGACAATGCCAGTGAAGACCCGCTGCTTCTCCCCGCCCTGCAAGAGAAGAGTGCAGCTCAAACAGGGCGCACTTACCCACATTCTGCCATTAGCATCTCCTCTCTCCACACACCCACCCAGCTCAGCAGAATACTGCACCAAGACTCATAGGGAAGGGAGCATACATGTTTGGTGGACAGAGTCCATCTTTTTGCCTGTGGGGGGAGGGGGGATGCTGATTCTTGCACCACAAGCTTCTCCTAGGACTCCCAGTTGTTTTATTCCAAGGAGCACTCTAGAGATTTCCCTAGAGCCAAAAGTTAGGATTCCCCAGTCAGAGGTGTCTAGTCACCTCCATACTGGCCCAGGACAGGCGTGTCAGGAAGGATGAACACTGTGATGTAAGAACGAAGCATCAGGCATCCATGCGTGCTGAGTGGTCCCAAGCCCTAAAACTCACTAGAAAGGATGCCCCACCTACCTGAAGGTGCCTGGCATTTTGGGACAGGTCTGTGGCCACAGGAGGAGTGAGCAAACCAGGAGGAGGACCCAGAAGAGATGTTGAAGCTGTGCCTGTGGGGACAGAGAAGCAATCTCCAGGAACTGCACCTACCATCGTTCAGCACTACAGTCAACTACGGCAGCGATTTTCAACATTTTTCATCTCGTGACACACACAAACTAATTACTAAAATTCAGCAGCACACCAAAAAATTTCTTTTTTGTCAATCTGACACACAAAAATAGGTATAATTTTTACTCATTCACACCAGATGGTTATTGTCATTTTTTTTTCAATTTGACAAACAACAATGGGTTGGCTGTTGTCATTTTTTTGACAATCTAAAGCAGCGGTTCTCAACCTGTGGGTCATGACCCCTTTGGGGGTCGAACGGCCTTTTCTCAGGGTTCACCTAAGACCATCGGAAAACACATATATAATTACATATTGTTTTTGTGATTAATCACTATGTTTTAATTATGTTCAATTTATAACAATGAAAATACATCCCGCATATCAGATATTTACATTACGATTCATAACAGTAGCAAAATTACAGTTATGAAGTACCAACGAAAATAATTTTATGGTTGGGGGTCACCACAACATGAGGAACATGCAGCACCCGGCTGAACATCGCTAAACTAGAAGACACGGCAAACTCAAAAGGCAAAGTGGCTCCAAGCAACGCTTCCACGGGGTTTCACTGGCAGCCACTGTGGTCAGCGCCTATTTTCCTAGGCAACATCAGCAGCAAATTGCACTCCACCAAGGAAAACCCACAAGCCCTCTTTTTAAAGACCAGCGCGCATCTTTCCCAGTGTGAGCCCGGGGAGGGATAAAGGCGATCACCTGAGAAGTTACGTCCCCCTGGAAGTGGGTTGATCCGCTGGCGCTTAAACTGGGACATTGGGATTGCTGACTTCTTTCAGAGTCTCGGGGGGGAAAAAACCTTCAATCAGAAAAGAAATAGATTAGCAGCTCATAGGGGAATTTTCCATCAACCCCAAAACAGGAATTAAGTATCTTGAGGAGAGTAGGGAGAATGAATGGAGATGGTGGGTGAAGGGAATATAGAGAGTAGCAGAAAATGAAGAAATTACATTGTTCCAGTTTGCCCTCACAAACAACCCAGCGGCGGGTCTTGCTGCCATGCCATCTTAAAGAGCAAACTGAAGCTCGGAGACTGACACTCGCCCGAGGCCGAACAACCCGTTAGTGATTAAACAGGGACTCACACCCGGTCACCCGACCATTTAGCGCTCCTCTCGCTATGCCACGCCACCCCAGATGGGTGGGGGCTGGGGGCTGGAAAGAGCCCGGAGACGTTCATTCATTCAAATACATCCGCCAAAATGCTCTACGCAAGGCCCAGAAAAATGAAGGAGGCGGCCGCTAGAGAGAAGATCGCGTGGGTCCTCTCCCCGGAAGCCCGGCCCGCTGCACCCCCCCCCACCCCCCACCCCCGGCCTGGTAGGTAGCGGGGTGGCCCGGCTGACCGCGAATCCGGCTGCGCACCCGCCCTCCCGCTCCCGCGCTCCCCGGCCCTTGGCTCCTGCCTCGGGGGCCGCTGGGGCCAGACCTCCCGGGCCGGGTCACAGCCAGGCAACCGTGGAAAGACTGAGGCGCACTGTTTCTCCTCCTCCCGCCCGCCCGCCCGCCCCCCAGGGCCGAGGCCGTTGCCAGGGAGACGGGACTTGCAGTCCAAGGGGGGCTCAGCCCCTTCCACGCCCGAGCATCTTCGCTGCCGGCCCTCGCAGCCCCCCGATTGGGGGAGGAGCGAAGAGGCAGAAGGGCGGCGGGGGCCAGCCGACCCACCTGCGGGCCAGGGCCGCGACACCGGGGGGACAAAGACACCCGGAACCACCACAGCCGCTGCAGCCGCCGCCACCGGAAGCGCCTCTCCGGAAGCGCGACCACTAGTCGGAAGCTGCCACTCTCCCGGATATAGTCCCTCCCTCCGCTCCACCGATCTCTCCCTTCCCCCACGCGAGCCTGCCGTGGGGCTCCTACCCAGGAGCGGAAGTACGCCTTCCCCGATCGGATGCGCGTTAGGGAGTTGCGCCGGGGTGGTGTCCTCGCTTAAATGTCCGATTAGAAAAATGAGCATCAGAGAATTGGTTCTTGGTCCAAAGAAAGCTAAAGTTGGACCCCAAACCTAAGAAAGCACCGCACCTTGCCTCATTCTGGCAGATCCCAAGTTTGAAGCCAGTAGAGAAGCAAACCCTTCTGACCAGAGGAGGAGGAGGCCTGGTTAGCGGCCAATTCTAGGAGACCTTCCTATGTCTGACTCAAGCCAATGACCCCCTCCCCAACCCTGGCCTTCCATTTAGGGCAACACACACCCACACTTCCCGTCTACTGGTACCTGCAGATGATGCTTTTCCCCTTTCTCAATTAACGAAGAGCTAGGAATCTAACAAGCTATATAGTAAGATAAACCACCACAATATTTAGGTAGACATTTACAGGGTTCTCATAGACTTTAGTCTCCACAACAATGATGGGGGTAATTAAGTCAGGAATTAGTGCCATCATTCTCAGATATGAAACCTGAGGCTTCAATGAAATGACTTGCTCAAGGTCTTGTTGCTAATCAATGGCCATTTTAGTCCACATTACCAATTCCAGCCCCACACCACCCCCTTGTCCCCTGATCTTCCCAACATCCCTCCAGTCTATCCACCCTCTAACACCCATACCCTCCCCTTCCCTATTCATGTAACATTCACAAAACTCTTTAAGATAGTTTAATCTTATTTTATCCTCAAAACAAACCTGTGAGGTAGGTAGGTCAAGCATCATTATACAATTTGGAGATTAAGTGGGAAGTTATGGCTCAGACAAGTTAAGGGATTTTGTGAAGGTGTAAAAGCTAGTGTGGGCCTCTGGTTTCAGCTCTGACATGTAAAGGCTAGTAGGAAGCAAAACAGCTAACAAAGGTTACTCTGCTATTCCCCGTATTTCCTAACCCTCTCATTCCTGGTGCAGTCTTCGAGGGCTCTGCTCTATGTGCAAGACTTAAAGCAAAGACACCCTTCCCTGTCCTGGGGCTTCCAATACAGGTATGTGGAGCAAAGCAGGACTCCAGGATCAGTAACTGTCCGTTGAGGAATGAAGGTCAGTCCCATCCTTCTGCAATTACCTCACCCAGAAGACCAACCCCTTGAGTGTGTGATTCAGGAGAGATGATTGGATCCAATAAGTTCACAACAGAGATACTGTACATGTATATCATGTTGCATACATACATATCTGCAACACACTGGACCCCAACAGATCACCATGCCAAAAGTGCTCCATGGATGCCTGATAAATTAGTGCAGGGATTTCTGTCAGTCAGAAAGGCGCCCAGGAAATGCCACACCTTGGGGTCTCCCAGGGAACCAGGGCTCCTCTGCCAAGCTGCTCAGAGGAGAAAGACTCGGCTCTCGCCTCAGAGAGAAGGGCGAGCATCAGCAGCTTTTCCTGGCAGTGCCCCAAAACAGCAATGGGGCAAAAGGCAAAGAAGACTTCACTGCACACTCCTCCAGCCAGCGTCATGTCCCTGCACCAGGAGGTCTCAGGAAACAGAGAGGTTTTTCGCTCGTTGCTTCTTCAGCACTAACGATGGCATAAAGGTCTTCCTGAGGGGACGACATGGAAGGTCCCTTGACTCAACTCTGTGAAAAAGGAAAGGAGGCCTTAGACTAGGAGAAGGAAACAAAGGTAACAATGGCCCAGAGTGGATCGGCATTGCGTATCTGCGGTGGGAAGCCTGGGGAGGGTAACTGACATGATGCTTCTTCCTCCTGGGAAATTATTCAGTGTAACTGCCCACCATCATCCATTGTGGAATCCTTCGTCTGTGTGCCCCCGCCACACACACACACACACACACACACACACACACACACACGGGAAGGTGGCCTAAGTTTCACCCTTGGGAGTTAAGGTCTTGCTGGGATGGCCTAAGGAGATCCCCCATATTCTAGTACTGGCTCTGCCACTGATTCATCATGTGGCCTCAGGAAAGCGCGCCCCCCTTTCCCGCCCCCCCCCCCAGCCTCCTCATCTGTCTGTCAATGGGGAGTTTAAACTACTTCCTGTTTCTTCCAGCACCCTCCCAAGACTGTTTATGTCACTCAGATTTCAGAGGGACGAAGAGAACTAGGAGTACAATCTCTCATCCTGGTCCATCCGGCTCCACCCTCTGCCCTAACTGAGCTGGGCCACAGTACCCACCTGAAAGCAGGGCCATTAGGAGGGGCAGGAGGCTCAGGGTGTTGAGGGCTCTTCCAGCGAATCCGATTGAGAAGGACCTTGACCTTGTTCCAGTGGGAGAGATCCCGCTGAGCAGAGAATGAGGGGGTCACCGCAGAGCCCCACCCCACAACATACCCCATACTGTCACCACAGTCCGCAGCTGTCACCACAGTCCGCAGAAGTCACCTGCTCCAAACAGGAATCCTCTCATTTTCCCAGAGTTTCTGGCCTTTAGGGTATCCACACAAGCCAACCACCCGCACCTCCACCTGTCACCTGCCCCACACATATCCATCACCTACCTTGTGACTCTGGGAGGGCTGCAAGGTGTGAGCTGGTTCTGCTGGGACTCTGGACAGCCTGAAAGGGTTGGCACTGGGCACACCTACCTTTGGGAGTGAAGCTCCTTTTTCGCCTTCAGAGAGAGAATCAGGTTACCTAAGGCCAGGAACAGGAGCACACCCACCAAGCCCAGGGCTCAGGGGGTCTGCCTGGGGCCCTGGGCAGACAGAGCACAGAGGGAGACACAATTGCCCCATACCTGTCTCCTGAGTCTGGCTGAGCAGCTCCAATGACCCCCGCACCTCACTGCCTGGGACATGAGAGAGTGGAGGTGAAGGGGCCACAGTCAACTCCTCCTTCTCTACAGGGCCCTGCGTACAGGAGAGAAGGGAAGTCAGAGCCTGAGCAGAGACCTAGGCTGTTCTGAAGGAAGCCCTGGTGCCAAGGGTCCCCCCACTTACGTGCCCACCCACTTGCCTGGCTGCCAGGTGGCTCGCTCACCCCAGGGGGCCTCTGGGGTTGCAGTTGCAGGTGCAGTTGCTGCAGCCTCACCATCTGCTCCAGCACCAGGCACAGGTGTTCCAGGTAGTGAAGACCCTGCCCGGGAGGGCAGGCCCCGGCTTCAGGCCCTATGCCCCTCCCCTGTAGGGCAGAGTAAGGGAGGGGAAACTTGGACTCAGTCAGACTCCCACCCTTGGCAGCCATCAAGTGGGAGCAGAACAGGCAGGGAAAGGAGGATCATGCAACCAACTGGCCTCCCAATGCCCAGCCAGCCGTGGTGCCGGGCAAACCTCATACCTGCCCACCTCCGCACAGCTGGGAGTGGGGTGAGGCCAGGAGCTGAGACACAACCCATGATTAGGGACAGAAATGCCCCACCCCAAGAGAGCTCCGGGGAGAAGAAATGGGGAGCCCCAGCACCCCCCGGTGAAAGGGCCATCGCCATCCCACTCTTCACCCAGCCTGAGAGGGGCCACTCACCACCTCTGCTTCTCCCAGGCCTGCCTCTAGGTCAGTTTCTGCGTTGGTGGCCCCCTGGTCCCTTGCTCCAACAGGGGGCATTTCATACTCAGGCTTCCTTGTAGGCTTCCGGGAGCGGTGGTGGTGTGACAAACTGGCAGGTGAAGTCGGGAGCTGGCTGGACCGCTCCAGCACCCGCTCTAGCTTCTGGCTGGCCAGGAGCCGGCCCAGGTGGGCAGAAGGCTCCATGGGCAGGGCCAGGGGCTCAGGGCTCCCCACGGGCTCTGAGTCCAGGGAGTCCTGAGAAAGGCGTGGAGAGATGGCCCAGGAGCTGTCCCCAACGGCCATCTCCACTCCCGAGTCCAGGAAGGCCAGTTTGGGAAGCGGCACCTGCGTCCGGAGACCTTTCAGCTCGCCATCCCCCTCCCAGGAGTCCGATGAGCACTCTCCGCAGGCGTCCGGGATCCGGCGGTAGGAGCTGGTGACTCCAGGCACTACACACCCTCCTGCCAGCTTCTCGCCAGCCCCACCTGCAAGGAGAGGGATTCAGGCAGGGCAGGCTGCCCCCACCGCCCTCGCATTCCTGGCAGCTGAGCGCATTCCGCGGGGAGGCGTGGCTGGGCCACAGGTGAAGGGAGGAGCCTGCAGGGCAAGCCCCGCCCACCTCTGCAGCCCCGCCCACCTCTGCAGCCCCGCCTGGAGCCGTCCGGCGGAATTCCCACCGCAGGAGTTGTTAGTGGTCACAGCCAGCAGGGGTGGGCTGTTGGGGCGGGTTTCCTTTCATCAGCCCCTGGGACGGCCCATCTTCCTTTGAGGAGGGGGTGCTTCCTCCCGGGGGTCCCTGCACTCCTGCCCCTAGGTCTGCCTTGAACCTCCAAGCCCTAAGTGGGGAGCTGAAGCTTCGCCCACTGCTCCCCAAGGCGGGGTATGACTGCACCCCCTTGGGGCGAGGGGAAGGGCACAGAGACCGAAGCCTGGGCTGCAGCCTGGCACCGGGAGGCTGAGGAGCTCTCCTGGAGCTGGGGCGGGGGGGGGCGGGGGGGGGGGTAAAGTAATAGCCCCGACCAGGTGGGGCTGTAGTTCTTTTAAGTGAGAAAGAGTGAGGACTCTGTGGAGAGTTGAAAAGAAAAAGCTTAAACAGAAGAAAGGGAAGTAGGGGCGTAGGAGGAGCCGTCGCTTTGTCACCCACTGTCACCTGGTGCCAGGCCCTCCTGCCATCTGGGCGCCCCAGTTGGTACTGAGGTGCAGAAACTGAGGCTGGCGAGGGTGGAGGGCTCTCCACGTCTCCCAGGCAGCCCCGGGGCTGGGCAGGCAGGGGGCCGCCAAACTCGCCCCCCCCCCGCCCCCCGCTGCACGGGGAAGGGGCCGCCGCCGCACGGGGGCTGTCACACGCGGCAGGGGCGGGGCCGGCGGAGCGGGACCCAGAGCGGGGGTCCGAGGGGAGCGGGACAGAGGCGCCGACGATTTAACGCCCACACTCAGGGTTTCCCAGGGCCAGGCGCGGTCACTCGACCGTCCACGGGGCGAGGTCGCGCGCCCGGGGCGCAGACGGGGTCGGGGTGGGGGTCGGCGCTAGGGCGGAGGCTCTGGCCGCCTGGGGGTGGCGACTCACCCCGGCCGCCGCCGCGCGGCTCCACGGCGAAGGCGCGCCGCCGGCCCCGCATGGCCCCGCTGCAGCCGCCGAGGGCTGTCCGCCCGCGGCCCCCGGACGCTCCCTGCGCGGGGGGAGGAGCGCGCAGGTGTGCGGGGAGCGGGGCCCCCAGTGCTGGCTGCGTGCGGGTGAGGACCCTGGTCCGCTGCCCTTCAGCCCCGGCAGCCCCGGCCTGGGGTCCCTCCGCGTCTTAATCACACGCGGAGCCCGCCTTCCTGCAGCCGAAACGCCGCGGGCGGGCGGGGCCGGGGCCGGGGCCGGGGCGCGGAAGGAAATGGAGCCCACGTGCCGCCTGGGAGGGCCTGACCGGGACGCGGACGCCCCGCGCTCCCCGCTGTGCGCCTGGGCCAGTCACCGCCACCCGAACCCGGCGCGATGAAACGGGGGATGCCGTCTGCCCGGGGAACTCCTTTCCGACAGCTGCGGAGCGCCGGTCTCGGGCCAGCCCCGAACCCCTGCTG